TTTAACCGGCGGTTTTTGGAAATATGCGCCCGTTTCGCCGTTTCTTTTGCACATCCTCGCGAGCTTGGCCAGGGTATTGAAAGGCGCCGCCCGCCGCCGACTGTCAGTCGGTCGGGGGCACGAGCCGTGCCTGGGGCGGTGTCGGCGCACAAGCGCCCGCCGCATTGGGTGGATTTGACTTTCCATCGCAAAACACCCCCCCCCCCGCGCGCAAGGGGACGACCCTCGCCCCTACCCTCCTCGCCAACAAATCAAAACCGCCATATCTCCCGCCCCGCCCAATCATCTCCCCGCGCAGCCCGCAATATCTTCCCGTGTGAACGCCTCCGCCGCGCGACGAGCGTCGCCGCACGGCCCCACAATCCCCCCCCCACTCCACCCCTGCTTCCACACGCTCTTGTGTACCCGCCGCCGCTCACAACGGATGCTCGCTGCCACCTGTTCCATCTGTGCCACGTGTGCTACCGGATACCGTCATGTAACTCGACTGTTTTGATAAGCTCGCACATCCCATACGCATTCTGCTCGAAACGTCTGCGGTCTATGTGGGATTTCGTCCCAAAAAATTAAGGGAAATAAATTGAACAGTTCATTAACGTCGGGAGAAGCCTACAGTACATTTGGTCCGACTTCCCAGACCCTAGGACAAGGACAACCCTTGGGAACCCAAGGGTTGTCCTATCTGTGAGAAATCCCTGCCTGTGCAACACCTGGAGAGCCCGCGAGGGGCAAAGTCGAGTCCGACTATAGGGACCAATATGACAAACACCTAAGCACGCGGTGCAGGACGAAACCGTCCTTGAAGGTTATTCCCCCGTCGCCGTGTAAGCCGGCGAGAGTCGCCGGCGGGCGACGGCGGACATTTAATTAGGGTTACTGAACTGCGCGGCGGTATACCAAATAAACGAGACCGACCGGGCAAAACGCTGAGACCCGGCAGGTGAGGATAAACCTTATCAGTCTTCACTATTTTCACATGGTAGCAATCGCAAACGTTTTACTGATCTCAAAAAGAACGCAATCATTCCTTTGGGTGGATCAGGTACACCAGAACCATGAGCGGAAAAGAAATCTACCGACTCCGGAAGCTCTCAGGGAAGAAAAATTTCGTGAACTGGCGCCGTCGCCTTAAGGCTCTCCTTCAGCAAGACGACTTCGAACTACTTGGGCTAACAGCTCATCCAGGAGATGAGGCGACCTCTCGCCAAAAAAGCGCATGGACAAAAGCTATGATACGAGCGAAGAGTTCCATCCTTCTAACTGTAGAGGTTGGACCCATGGCTCAAACAAGCACAATCATAGACAATGAGGAATCGTCTGCCAAGGATCTTTGGGAGGCTATTGCTCGTTTGTACACTTCCTCCAACGAATGAACTATCTTAAATCTCATGAGAGAGCTAGAGACTTCGGAGTTCAGGGAAGGATCGAACTGCGAAGAACACTTGAACAAGTTCCATGAAATTTTGGGAAGCCTTGCCTCCCTTGACAAAGCCATCCCTGAACAAGAAAAGTCTTCAAAACTCATCAGAACACTGCGCGAACACTTTGCTCCTTTGGCAATGATATCAGCAAACATGAGTCTTGATGAGTTGATAAATGCAGTTCAAACTGAAATATCTCGACAATTCTCAAAGCAATCGTCCCAAGGTAATTTCATTGTGCCCAAGGCAGCAATGGCGACAAACAGGAATTTCAGTTCTGGACAACGTTTCGAGAAGAGCCGCATATCGAAACCGCATTCTAGTCGCAATGGTGTGGAAGCGTGCTGGGTCTGTGGTAACAGCAACCATTTGTCAAAGGATTGTTTCTTCAGAGCAGACAAATTGATGAGACAAGGCAAGCCGCCTTTCCGTGGAAGAGGGGGTCGTGGTCGTGTTGGAAGAGGTGCAGGTCGCTTCACACAATGGAGAGGCTATCAAAGATCGTACAACCCTACTTCTCGTTACCGATCAAACAATTTTGGGCAACCAAATTGCGATTCATCTTTCGCAACACCTAGACGCATGAAAGACAGGGTGTCTCCCGGACGACAAGATCTTCAAAGTAACCCAGAAGCAAATGTGGCGAATGCTCAGATTCCGTCCGAACAAAATGCCTCGTCTCCAAATGAATATTCATCTCATTGCTATGGTTTTATGGCTCGGATCAAGTTTCGAAGCACGGTAGCCACATGCATTGAGACGAAGTCAAACGCAATGTTGATCGACTCAGGAGGATCACACAACTTTTACCACTCTCGAAAAGCATTCCTAACATACCAGAAAGTCAAGAAAATTGACGTCCAAGCCGCTGCTGGAGTGTCCATCATTGTGGGTAAAGGAACGGGTATAGTTCCAATTGGCACTGGTATTGAAATGGAAGCCTTTCACGCTCCTCTTTTCAGTCAAACAGTTTGTCAGTAGGCGTCCTAACAAGGCATTTTAACATCAACTTCACAATGGACCCTCCTGCAAGAAATTTCATCAGCACATGCATCCTGTCGGACAGGTCAAGAAGAAAGAAAATCTCCTACGTCGAAATTAACAAAGACGGCCTGTACCGTATCATTGAAGGAGACCTTGATGCAGGAAGCAACTCACTGCCACCACAACAATCACGTCTGATGGAAGATGTGCATTGTAATAATTGCCTACAACGTCCTTCCAGCTCGAATCAAACAGAAACGAAAAAGGCCCTGGAATGCCACACTCGAACTGGTCACCCCAGTTCATCAAGGTACATGAAGCTGTCAAAGATGTTTGACGAAATTCCTTCTTTTTCGCGGACAATACTTGAAAGTATTGTCTGTGTCCCCTTTGCCGTTGGAAAAGCTAAGAGAAGTCCTATCAAACGAAGTCAGAGAATTACGACTCGTGCTCTGGAGCTGGTACACATCGAAATCACCGGAAAGATATCAACCCCGTCCATTTCAGGACGACATTATGCAGCTGGATTTGTTGACGACTTTACTACAAAAACATATGTGTATTTTCTGAAGCACAAGAACGGCTTGATGGACTGTATCAAGTATTACAAAGAAAGATCAGAAGCCATTACAGGTCAACGTCTGATCAATATTCGCCTCGATGGTGCCGGAGAGAACAGTGCTGCCGAAGTCCAAACTTTTTGTATGCACAGTGGCATTCGTATGGAGTTCTCTCCTGCCTATGCTCCACAAAGTAACGGCACTGCCGAAAGGTTCATGCAAGAGTTGGGAACCCGAACCAGAGTATTGTTGCATTCCGCTCATCTTCCACAAACTGTATGGGCAGAGGCAATGCACCACGCTAACTGGTTGCGAAACAGACTACCTTCCGATCGTATCCAAGGGAATATCCCAATTCTCTCATGGGATCCATCAATAAGAGTCCATTGGAACTTCCCGTGCTTTGGACAAACTGGGTTCGCTTTTCTTTACCAAAGCAATACTGCGGGAAATCGCAAATTCAGTGCGAGATCCGCACATGGGCATTTCGTAGGAATGGAGTCAGACGAACGGCTGTATCGCATATATCTACCGGAGCGTAACCGTGTCGTCATAACTCGCGCAAACGACTTCAAAACTTGCAACACAAATGAACTGCCCGGAATTTCAAGCTTGTTGGATGGACTCGCACGGCAAACCACAATTGACAGACATAATGCCAGTGATAGTTATGCAGAAGAAATGCTAATGCAAGCTTTCCAAATTTATGCAGGGCAACCAGAAACGACAATTCCGTACGCACTCTCTGCTCGCCAGAACAAAAAGATGATCGACTTCCAAGAAACTTCAAGGAAACGTTGTGCTGCAAGCAGTGGCGCGATGCTATAGATCGAGAATATACTGCTTCGAAGGAGGGGTACGTGGGACTACGTCCTCCCCCAGTCTCACATACACACAATTCCTTTTACTTGGGTATTTCGTCTCAAACCCATTGACGCAGACTCAAGCCTTTTTCTCCACAAAGCAAGGTGTGTTGTTAGAGGAGATCTCCAAGATCCTGGTGTTGACTACGATCCGAATAACATGTACGCACTACTGGCATGTCATGAGGCAATCAGAATGCTCCTTGGAATCGATGCTGCAAATAACCTCTTCGTCGAAGGAGGGGACATAAGCAACGCCTACTTGTACGGCACCATGGATATTCCGATATACATTGAACAGCCTACAGACTCTTCAGGCATTGAAGAAAAACCCGGATACGTTGCTCGTCTACTGAAGTCAATGTATGGAACAAAGCAAGCTGGCATGATATGGGGTTCGCTTTTGGCAGCTACACTAATCGAATGGAACTTCAAACAATCGGTAGTAGATCAACGCGTTTTCGTCAACCGAGCTGGGCACGAATTTGTCATCATCATCGTTGTCGTAGATGACATGCAGTTCGTCA